TGTTCAAGAGCCGTTGTCAGCTTTCATGAAACACCTGATAGAAGAACATTGGGTTAAAAAAGTTCCAAGGTTGTCAGGGAGATGCTGAAGGAGGGATAGGCAGAAAAGCAGGAGAAGACCCGGGAGAGCAGAGGAGATGGCAGAGAGACCAGATCCAGGAGAACAAGGATGTGAAAGTGTCCTTCCCACTCAGCTAGGTGGAGAACAAGGGAACTGAAGTATTGGGCGTGAGAGGCAGAAAGCGGAAGGGGGTGAAGAGAAGGGCGTGAAGGAGCCAGGGAATCAATGATGGTGGAAGGGGATTCAGGCGGAGGAAGAGGTGTGTTCTTGCTGGACCCGAGTCAGTGATGCAGTGTTTACATCCATGAGATGTGCCTTTGCCCTTGGACCTGATTTGCACATGCATTTACCCGAGTTGAAGACACAAATAGCTGGTTTGAGGATGCATGTACGTCTCCACAGGCACATCCGCTCCTGGAAGTCTGGCCCGAAGCCTGAAACCCAAGGCAGTGTACTGGTCTGTTACAGGAATGAGTGTCTCTAATGCCACTGTTTATAGCGGCATGGCTTCCTTCTCGCAAATCCATTTGAATTCAGCACTGCAGGTTTCAGAGTGAATCCGATTCCCTTTTATCACCCCGCAGCTGTTCACGTCAGCAGGACCCGTTACTGGGAACCTGTAAAACAGGGGAAAGGAAGTCAATGAGCCAAATTCAGACCCTCAGTAACTCTGCTGAAATCAATGGAGTTGATTACATCAGGGACAAATTTGTCCTTAATGTGCTTAGATTAAATGAAAGGAATCTAGAGTAGTTGGGTCTTCGTTCTAATCCAATGGGCAGTTTGAATTCTTTCCTGAGCTCTGTGTAACACATGCTAGCACAGGGTAGCTCTTTGTCCCCATCTAGTGGCTACACCATAGATAGAGGTTTATGAAGCTGCTACTGGAGCTAAGCAAATACTTGATTTTTTTTCAGTTTTGGCGCTAAACTGACGAAAAAAATTGTTTGGTTCAAACCAAAACTGATTTTTTCCCCCTAGGTTTTTCTTTCTGGAATGAAAAACTGAACAGGGAAAAAAAAATCATTATGAGTCAAAAAACATCCCTACGTTAAATGAAATGCAAATATATACACATTATTTTTTGTTTTGTTTTGGGAATTTTTACATCTTTTTTAATACACCGCTAAATTTTGAAACAAAGCATAATTTCAAAATGAAAAGTTTCAACACTGCATTTCAAACAGTCAAGCAAACCATTTTAACTTTTTGGCAGGGAAAAATTGGCAGCCAAAACTATTTGCTAATTTGGGATGACTTCACAAACAGTTTACTTGCCCCCCAAAATACATTATTTTTTCCAATGAATTTACTGGTCACTGACAAAAATTCACCGTTGTAGTTGCTAGAGTCTCTACATTCACAGAGCAGGGCCTGGAGCTGAAGCAATCTTGCAGTTTGGGTTGTTTAGATACACGGCTACATGTGTTCAAGGCCTATGAATAGCTAAACCAGAGGGGGCCATTACATATGCTTAAAAAAAAATAGCAACCACCAGGCAACACTCACAGAGTTTGGTCTAACACGGAGCTGTCCACCCACATCCAGTTCTTCTCTGCAGATGTAACACTGAGCCCAAGCCAGACATGATATTTACCATGTGTGACGTTCTGTATGAACTCCTGTGGGGTGAAGACAGAGGGTGAGTACAACCTGCTAGGGCTAGATGACACAGGGTGGGAGTGCCAAGTGTCTAGGGGAATTAGGAGCAGAAGCAACAGTGACAGTCACTTGTCACCCCATTGACAGGGACTTATGCTCCTAACTCCCTTTTGAGCTTCTGAAAATCACACCCAGAGCGGTTAATATACCTCTCTGCCTCCTGCCCGGCTGTTCCCGTGCTTGGATGCTGATGGGGAAGGGGCATCCATCAGCATGAGGCAGGAGGAGGAATAAGCAGAGGCAGTGGGGACAGATGGGGTTGGGGCTCTCCCATCCCCCTGTTGATGGGGAGCAAAGCGTGTGGGAGCTACGCCAGCCGTTATGCCGCATTAGCATCCTCAGGAAGAAATGTCCTTCGCCTCTTCACATCTGGGACCATGTAAGCAGTGACCCCCTCCAGCAGAAGTCTCGCCCCCTCTGTTTTACTTTACCATCTCCTCCTGGTCTTGGATCACTAGCTTTCGAGAGCTCTTCGCGGAGCAGTCATCACAGCTCTCCTTCCAGTTTTTGCTGTCTTTGGAAAACCAGTAACACTTTCCCCTGTGTGACAGCCAGTCCATAGGGCAGAATTTGCAGCCGGAGCCGTCTGGAGAGAGATGTGGCGAGACACAGCAGTAATGATTCTTGGTCCCAGGGAACGTGCTTACAACAGCTCAGAGAGGGTTAGGCACTGTCGTAGAAATTCCTGTCCGTTCCAGCTGAGGAATAAGGAGAGACGGACACAACCTATAGCTGACCCTCTGTGTACGTGACAAATTTGCCTCCTGGCAGTTAAGTAGAATAATTTTATATCAGCACTATCGGTGATCCCATCCGGAGCCTTTCTCAATGTTTAACAAGGAGATCTGGTCAGAACATTTTCTTTAAAACTGTTTTCCAGTAGAAAAGCTGTTTCAACAAAATGTTCTTATAAAACCGTGTCAGTTTTGACACATATTCTCACAGAAAAAGAAGTTCCAGAATAACAAGTTTTTTTATTGTTTTTTATTTTCAAAATTTCACTTTGAATTTTATTTTATGGATTCTTATCCAGCAGTATCGAAATGTTGGACTTAGATGATTAACTGCCACTTGAGGAGCCTAAGTCCCTTTGTGGATCTAGCCCCAGGGTCCTCACTCAGCGTCACCCACTGTCACTATCGCTGCACCCTCGAGCGTCACCCAGAACCACCCGGGCATTGTCAGCCACAGGCATCAGCCAGAACTAGCTCGGCACACTCAGCCTCAGCCATACACGGCTACCTCCGCGCTGCCCCGA